ATGTATTTATATATATGTACATGTATATGTATGTGTGTGTGGCTGTACATACACATATGTAGTTGGTTTTTTGGTGTTTGGCTTAGTGTTATGTTAGAATCATTATTATACTTTATTTATTTTGTTTTCATTTAAATGTTTAGTTTTGAAATGTTGTTGTATGCATTTGTCATTTTTATTTAATTTCTTTTATTTTCTTAAATGTGTGTATATATATAGTATTTATAGAGTTTTAATTACTTTTTCTTATTTGTAAGTCGCTTTGGATAAAAGCGTCTGCTAAATGACTAAAAGTAAAGTAAAAGTAATCAAATATTTTGGTCACAGTTCATTTTTAACACACAGTCTCAACATGTATATGTTTCTCTCCATTTCAGCTGAAAGGGAAGACCAAAGGAAGGCCTGTCATAGGATTTGAATTTGACCATCTTGTGTGTTTATGGAGAAGACCAAAAGCTGCAAAGGCAAACACTTCCAATGGTACGTCTGTGTTGGTCTGAGCAGTTTGACTGAACTTTACTGCAGAAACATTTTTCACAGCAATTGATGTTTCTTAAACTTTGGTTTACATATCCTACGGCCCCATCAGGAAGAACCCCCAGAAAAGTGTCATGTCGAAGTAGTAATAATAATTCATACAATTTACCAAGTCAGCAAATGCATATGATATTGTACAAGCGTACTCGTAAAAAATTCTACGACTTTTACTCCTACTGCTGTCATTGGCCATTGCCTCAACTCATGCAGATTGTGCCCATTGTAAGTAGTCAGAGTGTTTATATCATAAAGTTTATATTAAGTCCATTGTATTCTTTATTAATCTTTACAAATTGGCGCCGTCTCTTTCCGTTCTATCAGTACATGATATCTGTCCACACCTCACAGTCTGCCTTTCTTTCCATGTTGATTTTTATTGAACGCATCTGTCTAAGAAGCAAGAGTCTGGAAATGCTAGCTTAACTTGTCACGTGTTACAAATCAGATCTTCAATTAATTTGGCCAAATCAGATCACTTAAAGCTGTTCACACCAAGAGCAATAACTATAATGAGAAGTATTTTAGCATCCACACCAACAGACAATACTGTTCTGTTTATTATAAGCATGCGCTGTGGTTATGTTGTCTGCCATTTAAATGCTCAAGCTTTTTAAAGTCTGGTGGATTCTGATTGGCTGTCAATGTTTTTATTGTTTATCAGCTGAAAAAAAATTGTTCTGAATGAGATTCCAACGATAATGTTCCTCTGTGTCATTAAATGTTAACTCTTAAATGTTCCTTTCATTCTGTTAAAATTACACACAAAATTCTGCCTATTTCTCTTCATCTTATTCATTTACTCCGTCGCTCACTTACACATTCTTTTATGCTCTGTTGTAAGGTAGAAACTGAGAGTTTGCATGATGGCCTTTTCTCAGACTCTGAATCTGATGTATACAGATGAACTCAGGAGTCTGCGAGAGTTGCCAGGGAACTTGAGCTTGAAGTATATCATTATAACTGCTTAATTTATATGTTCAAACAATAATAATTAAACATGGGGTCAATAAATATTTTCTTGGTTTACAGCTGAAGACCAAAAACGCAAAGAAAATCAGTCACAGCAAGCCACCCTGACATTCTGTTTGCAATTCATACCGTGCTGCACTGCAAAGGTATATGTGTACTGTCATTATTATGTTTATTATTGTTTTCATTTCACGCTCTCTGTATAGCATAATATTTACCATACATTGTTCTCTACCTGTATTGAGTCCCTTTATGTGTGTTGCATATATATATTCAGTATTTGTATTTCATATATATTCATTCATTCGTTATCCATACTGTCATGCTGCAGTTTGCACCCAAGACTTTCACCACCTGTACACTTGCGTTCATGCTATTGTGACAATAAAGTGATTTGATTCGAATTGGTTACATGTGTTTTGTTCATCAGTTGTGCAGTAGGGTGCTGCATAACAACTGCACATTTTTTATGACATGGAAGAAGATTATGACAGGGACATGGATTTGAAGAAAACCAGGAGAGCTCTGAAGATTAGCAGGAAACTGGATGTGATTCTTTGGTGCTCAAGACATTTCACCATGCGTACATTTGGGTGGCTTCATATGATTAAAATAACATGGTTTTAACATAACCCATTTTATTTCTCTTGAATATCATTTGTCTTAATACACTACCGGAGGATACAGCATAAAGACCACTAAAGTAAAGTATTGCACACGGTGTTGCATAATAAAGTATGGTGAATATTCTGTATTAGGGATGGTGTTTGGTAAATACACCATTTAATTTTGTAAACAATACACATAATTCCCATGAGTGTTTTAATTAAGACATGAACATTTAGTCATATTAATGACATTCAGTTAGATGAAGGGCAGGCTGAAAGCTGCATTAGAAGAGACTGCATGGACTATATTGCTGCAGGCACTTCATGCACAACTGAGGGTGATGCACCAGGGAAAGATCAACATGAATCCTGTACTGTACTATTAGCAAGATGAGAATGCACATTACTGATGTTTAGCACCTGAGGAGGACAAAGATGAGGAATATTTGACACAGAGATACAAATTAGGTCTTTTATATTATGATTCTTTGCATTGCATGAATTGTGTGGCTTTTGCACCATAAACCACACACTGTCTGTACCTTGTCTTACTGAATGACACATTGACTTTGAGTGATAGTACAATGAAGTGTCACAGTATGTATTGGTTGTTTAAATTGGTGTCTTTGTTTACTGTCAACACTGTATTCTTGCTCCTGATCTAATGAAATAAATGGAGCCCATTCCAAATAGGCACTGATGTTGATTTTTTTGGGTCTATTCTTATTCTAAGATAACCATGACTTGCAACTTACATATTGGCAAGTTGTTGAAAAGACAATCTTAAAAATGTGACTCAGCACAGTTTGTTGTCCATGATGAGAATAGATCTGTGTATGATTTACTGCCCTTCCATCCCCAGGGGCCCAGTAGAGTCCCCTGGAAGAGCAAAAAAATTTAACATTTCAAATGGCTGTAAATCAAAGTCTGATTATAGTGTCAAAGAGAAAATTGGCAGGACAACTACTTAT